CATGATTAATCACCATTCGAACTATGTCCAAAATATGCCATTTCTTTATGTATATTGTTGTGGGAATGGAAAGATAAATGAAAGAAGGCAGATATATCCATTTAACATACAGTATGTTTATTATAACATTGTTCTGTGTGTCAAAATGAAAGACAGCCCACACACCTATCAATCATCAAACCGTGGGGTCTTATTTCATTACGTGTTGATTTCTATCAACACGTAATGTTGTATCGATGTATATAGAGATGTACTACAGCAAAAGTATTCTCCGTCAGGACTTCCTGCAACAACACAACGCCGTTATCTTGATTCTGATTGGCCAGAAGACATTATCAAAGATGTTCTATTGAGAAGACGATCACTACGTGACAAAAGTTTTCAAAACAGTTTCTAGTCTTTGGTATTTCCAGACAAGTGGCTACTGAAATCAATCTTACTAACTGCTGTCTGTGTGATTTACTCGGCGCGAGTTAGCGGACTTTATTTTGCTTACTTTAAAATCATTTTTCATGGTGGAGCTAAGCCATTTCTTGGTATGGCTGTAGCCTACCCCAGCGCTGCCACTGGTGGGATGTATGGGGCGGGCCATTCTGCACATGCGTTAAATGCGTCAAAAAATTAATTAAAGCCGTTAACGCGATAATTTTGACAGCATTAATAATTAAAAACTAAACTGAATTTTAGCATGAAGCCACAACATTCTGGCAAGTTTACATGTTATATTTCTCCTCTCCAGCTCCTCGGATACAAAAGTGCNTTTCTTGGTATGGCTGTAGCCTACCCCAGCGCTGCCACTGGTGGGATGTATGGGGCGGGCCATTCTGCACATGCGTTAAATGCGTTAAATATTTTAACGCAATTAATTCAAAAAATTAATTACAGCCGTTAACGCGATAATTTTGACAGCATTAGTAAAAACTAAACTGAATTTTAGAACGAAGCCACAACATTCTGGCAAGTTTACATGTTATATTTCTCCTCTCCAGCTCCTCGGATACAAAAGTGCCCCGATCGGGACACACCATCTAGGCCAAAGAGACAAAGAGCAGCAGGTGACCTAACCAGACTGTCTATGTGGTTTTTATTATCGACTTTCAATGTAAGGTAAAAGGGATAGACAAGTATAATAAATGTGACTTTAAAACCTCACAGCCATTATCTGAAACATCCTTTGAAGTGTGAAGCAAAGAGTACTTTGCTATTTATGACGTGGCTTCAAGTTGTGGAATATATAACCTGCACAGTCATGTCAGCCACTGGCCCATTTTGTAGTTGATGTCATTCTGCAAAAAATGATGCAGCGTTTTAGAAGTCTGTGTTTCATTCATATCAATGTGTTAATTTTGAAACATCACATTTAACATCAAGTTAACTTATTTTGGAAAGTCAAATCATGTTCGGAGATTTTCAATAATGTACTCTAATATGAAATAATTTTGTACAGATATGAATGGAAATGAATGACGGCCTGGAATAGTAGGATAACATGCATTTCATGTTATACTTAATCTTATAAGGTTATACAGCAAGGTTCAATGTTCTTTAATACACAATATTACAGAAAAACAGAAAAATATAGTGCAAGTAAATATTAAATATTAAAAGTAACTGCAAAAGAAAGGAATAGTTTAAAAAAAAAAGTGAAATAAGAGTCTATATGCAAGCTATTTGAATGATATATTAGGTAAATAGATAAATGATTACTATTAGCATGTATTTATATGGTATGTAAACATGCTAGTAAGTAAGCTAACGTGATGTTTATGTTAGGAGCTAAACACTAGCTAACAGTGGTGTGTTCCTTGAGACAATGCTGGTGGTTCTGAGCTTCTTTGTGGCTGCTTTTATTTTAAGCAAGCTGCAAAAAAAAACACGCTGTAATGTTCGTTCTTCATCTCTTGCAGCTCGACCAAAAACTAAAGTGGTGCAGGCTGAGCTGTCAATCACCCAAGGTACATTTCTACATTCTGCTGTAATCTGATGCAATTGTTAAAGACACTGCACATGTTTTTGTTTTACATTTAAAGGGGCAGTAAGAAAAATATGTCTCAAACAAGATTATCTGCAGTCCTTTAAGAGGATGGCAAAAGTTTGATCAGTATTCCTGCAAATATATCCATCAAAGATTAAATATTTGCTGACACACTGCATGGTAATATTTTGTGTGAATGGAAAGTACCAACATAACTCTCATGGGTTAAAGGATTGTTGATTCGCTATGCTTGACTCGGTTCCTTTATGGCATAGAAATGCAGATCAAAAAACAGGAAGTTTAATTTTGAAGTTGTCAGATAAGATTTCAATGTGGAACCAAAAGAACAACTCTCACCTCACCCAGAGTTCCTCCAGATCAGTTTGGTGCCTCTCTAGAAATCAAATGTAGTACTTGCTATTATGAAAACTCTTGTTAATCTAGACGAGTTGTAGATTGTTACTTGTATTCAACTGTGGCGCACTGACCTTTTCATTTTCAAGTCTTACAAGTATGCCAAAAAATGTAAGTCTTAAACGTGATGCAGCATTTGACCTAAGTCCGCTTCAATTATCTTGGAATCTAAACTTTATTCTCGTTGCCCAACCTTTGCTTTTGATATGCTCAAGGTTAACAAAACCTGTGGGCAAAACAGATAAGGATGTTGGCTTTGTTTATTGCAGCCACAGGATCAGAGCCAAGTTCAGCAGAGACAGCTGGCCTCTCCACCACTCCACCAAGAATCCTCCATCTCCATCCCTCCATTCAGTTTATCACCATCCCAGACACTCCATCATGTCAGGTTGTCCGGACCCTGAGGCTCTCTCCTTCAGTAATCACACTTCCAATCACCAACACTGCTGCTACACCTACTTACATATTTGGTGAGTAAAGCATTTGTATACAAAAAAAACAAGGTCGATTGTGAATAGCAAATGAAAACTGGATAATCTTCATTCTATGAAGTGTAGCTTAGCCAGAGCTATTTGCAGCCACAGACCGATACCAAATATTCTCTTTGCCATAAAGGTGTGCCATTTCAAGGAAGAAGTCTTATTGTGTGTCTGCCAATCCACCAATTAACAATATTACTCACTACAGTAAAGGGAAAAGCAAAATGGGGCCTCTTTAACTTTCAACAAATAGGGCTTTGATTTTTTTGAAGTCATACAAGTCATCAAGTTAGACATTCTGTTCAGATTTATTTCTCTGTCCCCTCTGCAAAAAAACTGATTGGCAGAAGAGCGTTCATTTTCAAAGCCCCAACAGACTGGAATACTTTACCTGCTGCTATTAGATCATTTGCATCTTTGGGGCATGTTTAAACATGCATTATCATCTCACTTTCAACTGGTCTGTACTTGTTATTAATGAAACTGATATTGATGAAACTGATTTGCTCGACTGTCTCTCAAATTGTAATGATCGTATGCATTGCTTGAATTTAACTTAACAGACTGTATGTGGTTTGACTTGTGTGTGATGTTTTGCATTTTGTGTTTTTGTTTATATATGTCTGTAAGTGGTTGCTATTGTCGGTACCCCCTTGAAAACGGGATGGTGCATCTCAAGGGGTTTATCCCAATGAATACAAATGTCTATATATATATATACATTTTCAGACAGATGGGATCTTTAGCTATACATATATATACATCTCAACTATGGCGGTCCTACCATAAATGTGATCATAGACTATTTATGAAAAA